CCGATTTACAACCAAAATTTCATGAGGTGAAGAAGAGAACTGTGTCATCACACTGTATTTGAATTTTTTTAAATCAGCACTAAACAGTTGGAATGTAATATGGTTTGACTGTGTCCTCACATGAATCTCACCTTGGATTGTAGCACCTATAATCCCTAGGTGTCATGGGAGGGACCTGGTGGGAGGTAATTGAATCATGGGGGGGTGGGATTTTCCCATGCTTTTCTCATGACAGTAAGTCTTCTGAGACCTGATGGTTTTATAAAAGGCAGTTCCCCTGTACATACTCTCTTGCCTGCTGCCATGTAAGACGTGTCTTTGCTCCTCCTTCACCTTCCACCATGATTGTGAGGCCTCCCAGTCATGTGGAATTGTTAGTCCAATAAGCCTGTTTTTCCTTTATAAATTATGCAGTCTCCAGTATGTCTTTATTAGCAGCATGAGAACAGACTAATACAGGATGCTATCAGGGAAGAAGCTGGTACAAACATCCACATTCTCCTCATAAGAATTGGGGAGCTTCCAGAAATATAAGCATTTTTTCTACATTCACAGCTCCATTTTTTTTTTAAAAAAAGACAACCAATTAGTATTTATTTTTCACATAGCCTGAACCCTGCCCCATGCAAGACACAACCCTTATGCTTGAAGACATTCTAGCAGCGTGAAGAGGACTGAGACACAGATTCTAACATTGCATACAATTTTTAAATTCCAGGCTATGAGGGCTCAATCTAGATGAGTCACAGAGATAGAAATGGAGAGATTGAAAAATGAATAGGGAATAGAGAAATCGGCTTGAGGGATAGACAGGATATAGACAGGCAAAGAGAGGTAAGATGTCCCAGGCAGAGGGAGGCAGCAACCTCGAAGACTCTGAACTAAAAGTGATGCAGAGAGAAGAGAAGCACATTGAAGAGACTCTTCATGACTTCCCTCATCCAAATTCATTATTTAGAAATAACCAGTATGCTGTAATCATACTGTGTTCTGTGCTTTACACTTCTTCTAATTAATCCTCATAACAACACTTGGAAGTTGGCATTAGTACAAAAGAAAGAAACTGAGGCTCAGAGACGTGAAGCAGTTTGGCCAAGGTCTACAACCAGTAACGGTTATTGTCAGAAGAACTGAAATCCAGATGGGTCCCACTTCAAATCCTGGGCTATTTTTCCCTGTGTTCACTGCCTCTCCAGTAGCCGCCTAATTTTCCATGCCATAAAACCTAAGTTTGAGGGGAATCTTCCTTGGCTGTAGTGGCTGAAATCAGAACCATCCTAATTTCACAAAAAAGTCCAGGTCTGACCACCTGTTGAGAGTCTGCCCACAGCCAGGTTGTCCAAGGGCAGACCTCACAGGACACACCTGCTGATAATGGTTTCTACAGTTGAGCCTGTCTCTCAGAGCTTACTGTGGAAGCTGGAGGTGTCTTCAAAGACACCTGCTTCAGCCTCTAAGCTGCAAGAGAAGAACCACTCTCATTGCATCTCCCTCAGCACTTCAGGGAGCAAAGGAGCTCATTAATGATCATGGCTGTGGTTAATACTGTTGTGGCAGTGATAGGCAACCAGCTACCACTCTGAGCTCTAATGCTGATGTTTGCTTAGGAACTCCATGGGCCAAGGGAGCCTTATCTCTCTCCACACAGGCATCAGAAAGGATATATCACTACATAGAGGAGATGTAGACAAGTTTAGTTATCTTATCACTCACTTTCAAAAATGGACTCTAGTCCCTGCCCTAAAAATCTGCAAAATGAGACAACCTATAATAAATTGATGGGATTTTTACTTTTAGCTAGGATGGTCGTAGACTTTTCCAAAGCTGGACACTTCTAAGAGTGAAAGAGGGTAGTATTAATAAAAAAAAAAAGGCATAAAATAGTCTTCCTTCTACATCTCAGATTCTCTAGGAAAATTACCTTTTAAAAAACATATTAGTTGGCCACCCAGTAACTGCTATTAGATGCATTACAATGTGACTTAAACGAAGGAAAAGAATCTGGATAAAGGAACTGGAGACAGGAGGATACATCAGCCCAGGGAAGCAACCACACTGAAGTTACAGGTGATGCATAAGTGTGTGTAATATGTCCAAACAGTGGTAACATTGACAAGTGCAAGAAACAGAACACACAGAATAACTGGTAGTACAAACAAGTATCATTTTGCCCAGATTGCTCTGTCAAGAGAATTTATTTTCATATAGGATGGTGGTTGCTATACTTCTGGGTTTTCATTATTTGCAGGTAATACAGCAGTCGGGTTGCCAACTCTCAGCAATCTATTGCTGCATAATAACAAACTGCCCCAAACCTTAGTGGCCTAAAGCATAAACATCTATTATTGCATAGGTCAGGAATTCAGGAGTAGCCCAGCTGGGTGGATCCGACTCAGGGTGCCTCATCAAGTTGCAGCTGAGATGTCAGCTCAGGCTGTATCATCTGAAGGTTTGACTGGAGCTGGAGAGGTTTTTTCCCTTGCTCACCCACACAGCTGTTGGCAGTGGCCCATGTTTCTTCCCTAGCTGTTCTTCACTGTAGGACTGCACACAAAATGGCAGCTTATTTCTTCCAGATCTAGTGATCCAAGAGAGAGTGACCGCAATAGAAAATAGTGCCTTTCAGAAATCAGTCTCAGCATTGACTATAATCACTTCTGCTATATTCTGTTGTTCACACAGACCAGCCCTGGTACCAATCCTATACTGTCATGCAAATATCACCATGTAGAGATCACTGAAGATAATCTTGGAGTCCAGCTACCATACCAACTTTTAACTGTGCTAATTTTTTAATCATCATCTGATATAACAATTATAAATAAATATAAATAAAATTTTGATTCTAAAATACTAAGAAAGATATAATGTTGGCATAGGACAATTTTTTTACATTAAAACTCTTATATAAAAAACAATACATTTTCCTTACTTTTAAAGTTTCACCAAGAATAGTTATGTATCTGTTTTATTTACCATTGCTTATCTCCCCAACTAGAACCGACATTTTATCTGTCTCATTGATATCCCCAGTGACCATACCAGTAACTGACATAAAGTAGAAGACGTGTAAATATTTGTGGAATAAATGAACAATGAACACTTCACTTTGGATTGGTAATTAGTAGCAGAATAAGGTTTGGAAATAAAGATATTGGGACCCAATCCTGAGACATGCTTTTTGTTCAAAATAGCAGAACTGGTCCAGTTGACTACACTAAGAGCAAAATCAGGGCACACAGCCTCTAGAGCAACAAACTGTGGCAGAGGCAGAAAGAAAAGCCACCCACGAGATAGCAACCATGATACTTTTCTGTGACTTCAAAAGGTCAACCTTCTTTGGAATGACATTCATGAGATTAGTCTTTTAGAGGGAACCGGGGTGAATGATAGGTGGAGACATTGAGAATGCAGTTCCTTGTCATTGACTGAATTTCCATGCCTGATGGTACAATTAAGGCTAGAATGGGTTTAAATCCTTACCCAGGGTCACAGAGCTGGATTCCAATGAGGTCAGTGGTTTCTCCCATTCCATGTTCTTTGATAGTCTTCACCACTGGAATCATTCCCATCCCCCCCTTCACTACTCCCACTCCAACACAGAAAGGCTCAGCCCAGGGCAGCCACTGGCTCCATAGTACATTTGACTTCCCCTCGGCCCCACTCCTCGGTGGAGACCCAAGGAAGCTCACACCACCAGGACATCCCTAGTGACCCAGCCTCTTATTCCAGACAGGAAAAGGAGACAATGCAAACATGAGCTCAGCGTTTTTTACTGACTAATTCTTCCTCCCCAAAAAAAGGTTAGTAAATATGAGTTCGAACGTAACCTAAAGACTTGCTTAACAAAGGGGAAAACCCACCAGCGTTTCTTAATTCTAATACACCTTGTGTTATGCAAAAGGCATGTTTTAAAAAAATGAATTAATTTTAAGACACACACACTAGTAATTTAAATTCACTAGAGAGTTAGCTATTTAGAGGAACCCTGTTGTAAATCCTTTCACAAACTGAAGAACATTTAAGTAATTACCCTCTAATTTATGTGCTCTGTAAGGTCAACTATTTAAATGTCTGGTTTTCTTAATTCAAGGCACACCCAAATGCATAGAATGTCTTTAAAACTCATTATGGCTGACAAATGTATTTCTTTGTTTTAACAGACAAAACTGTATTTTGGTGAAATAGGCAGAAGATACCTATTATTCTGGCAACTGTTTAAATACTCACTTATTGCAAAGAGGACTTCTGTGCAGGTGATGGAGAATGGATATGATCAAGAATCAAACTGTCTTACATTTAAGAACACATTGTGAACACATACATGTGAAGTCTTTGTAATTTGTATGCAGTCCTTAAATCTCTGTAATTCATATTCAATGTAATCCTGATTTATTTAGTGGTTAAGCATGTGCTTTTATTTCTCAGCAAAGTTAACAAAAAAGCTATCAACTAGCATAGGTTAATAACAGGAATAGTTTTAAATGTTTAAAATATTTGGAATATTAGAAAACATTATTTAAAATATTCAATGAATAAATTGTCTTTTTTTTTTGAGACGGAGTCTTGCTCTGTTGCCAGGCTGCAGTGCAGTGGCACCATCTCTGCTCACTGCAACTTCTGTCTCCTGGGTTCAAGTGATTCTTCCGCCTCAGCCTCCCAAGTAGCTGGGACCACAGGCGTGTGCCACCATGCCTGGCTAATTTTTGTATTTTTAGTAGAGATGGGATTTCACCATGGCCAGGATGGTCTCGCTCTCTTGACCTCATGATCCGCCCGCCTCGTCCTCCCAAAGTGCTGGGATTACAGGCGTAATAAGTTGTCTTTCACATGTTGTTAAGCCAAGATCAATAGACTCAATGAAAACTTCACTTCTTATTGGTGACAACATGGCTTTGCACGCTTGGTGTTTACTTGGTTGAAGAGAATGTGCTGTGGAGGAATATACCAGAATTCACACGCTCAAAAGAAACACACTGGGGAGTAGATGGAAGCTTCTCCTGAGGATATCTTGCTGTTCTAATTTTATAATAGGACAGGCTAAAGATTGGCTGTGTTAAGAACACTCACATTTCCCCAGTCCTAATTCTTTCCCCAGGTCTGGTTTTATAAACGCTGGTAATAAACTGTGTCAAGAAGAAGGTGTTTGGCTATCAGGGTGAATAGCTTGGAAAGAATGTCAGCAGATAAGAGGCAGTGCTGCCAAGTTCTGAAAGCAAGGCTGCGAGTGCTGTAACCTGGCCAAGGGGCAGAGCCCCAGACACCAGACCAGAGCCACCACGCATGCCTGCAGGATCCCCATTCACCTGGAGTCCAGCACAAATGGCACCCTCTAGAGCACAGTGCAGGGACCACCTCTCACATAGGTAACCCACATCCCTGGAGGCAGACCATAGCCCTGCTAGTTCCTCCTCACAAGTTCAATTCCACAAGAATGTGATCTAGATACAAGGTGAGGGAAGAGGATTGGTTTGACCCTTTCCATTTCAACCCAACCATACTCGTTAACACAAAATGCTAGCTACTCTAGACCATGGAGCTTTCTAACTCTTCTAGACCACTAGCAACTTCTCCACGCCAAATGTCAGGGCTGTCTAGGGGATGTCACCTTCCAGGGTGAACCCAAGAAGTAGCTGGCAAAGCTGGAGACTGTAGAAGGAGCAATAGACAAACAGCACAGTGCTGTTCACCTGACTCAGGCAAAACCACGGGTTTTAAAAGTCTGAACTGTACAGGGGCCAGGTTCAAACTAGAGGTTGCCAAAAACTGGCTGATATGAGGGGACATCAGGGGCCCATCTATAATACACGGCAGCTTCCTAAGAGAGCAACATGCATACTCAATCTTGTAGATAAGTATGTTGATGGCTGCTTGATTCTTTTTGCTCCATATAATAATATCATTGTCATCATCATCACTGTCACAGTTGACAGATCTTTAGCCGTCACACATACCAGCAGTGTTCTGAGTGTTTTGCACACATTCATTTGGTGTAAAGCACAAAATGAGTTGCACACCAGCCCTCTGTGCATTCCTACCTCCAATCCTCACAACCTCCTGTCTTGTTCCAACCACTGCTGCGTGATCAGCTCTGTATAGGCTGCAAGCATTTCTGCACGGGTGCAGCCCTTCACGACAGGCTCTGCTTCATGACTGCTCCTTGCACTTCTTACCTCCTGCCCCGGGGGATTCCCTGGTGTCACAGGTGAACCCATAGCATCCTACTCAGCACTCCCACATGTGCAACTGGGAAGTGCAAGGGTATTGCCCATCCAAGACGATAGATGCACAGTTCTGAGGCACGTGTCTTAAGGTCCTGGCAGCAAGCAGCCCAGCCATGCACCGTGGTCACCTCAGTTAGTCCTTCCCACCCTCCAGGCTTCCCCCTCCCAGCTCTTCCCTTCTGTGCCCTAAGATCTCATTCCCACAAACTATTCACATGTTAACCTTTGACTCCTCTGCTTTCAGGGGATCTAAGCCAGGATAGTTGACATTTTGGAATGAATGTTTATGTCACCCCAAAATTTCAGGTGGGGCCTTTACAGGGTAATTAAGGTGAAATGAGGGCATAGGGGTGGGACCCCCAATCTGATAGGATTGGTGTTCTTATAAAAAGAGACCTCAGAAGGTGAACTTCTCTCTCTCTCTCTCTCTCTCTCTCTCTCTCTCTCTCTCTCTCTCTCCCCTCTCCCACATACAGGCACACAAAGAAGAGTTCATATGAGGACACAGTGAGAAAGCAGCTGTCACAGGAAACTAAGAAACCCATCAACCCTGGCAGCTCCTTAGTCTTGGATCTCCAGCCTCCAGAATGATCAGAGGTGCATGCCTGTTGCTTAAGCCACCCAGTCTATGATATTTTGAATGGCAGCCCTGCGAGACTAAGGTGATTGGTAAAAGGATATCCCTGGAAAGAGTATGCTCGGAATAAAATACTAGAGGTGGGTCACTGACCAATCAATCAGATGGCCATAAAGATGCCACTGCTGTGGTGAGTGGGTTTGTACAGGCAGTCCCCACGACTCTTGTCTGTGATTGATTAGGATGGGGGACAGGTGATGGTGAAGCATCAAGTTGGTGACAATCATTAAAAAGGAAATGACACATGTCATTCATTCTGCATGTATCACACCCATAAAATGAGCAACAGCAACCTTGAACCCTGATGTAAAGTATGGACTTCAGTTCCTAACAATATATCAATATTGGCTCATTCAGTTGTAACGAATGTAACCCCCAATGCAAGACATTAATAATAAAAGAACTGTGCATGGGGGTGAAGGGAGGGGTACATGGGAACTCCCTGTACTTTCAGTTTTCCTGTCAATGTAAAATTATCCTGAAAATTCTATCAATTTGAAAGATAAAATACATTTGAATAAGAGGAAGTTAATAAAAAAGAAAACAACAGGCTCAGATGAGTCAGCTCTCACCTCAATGTGGACTCAAAATCACGGTCAAGGTCTTATGAAGAGAGGCAGAAGTGCATAGAAGACTTCATCCACAGGCAGGACGGGCCTGCTATGTGAAAATTAGGGCACTCATAGGAAAGCAGAGGTCCCTGAGACCTTGCAGAGGCCAGGGAGGTTGGTGAATGAGTTGAGTCTGAGAATCTTGAACGTCAGATCCACTAAACTCTCTGTGCTGGCACAAGCAATGCCCTGCTCTCTGATGGAAGAGAGAAGCCTTCCCCACCTGGAAACCTGCGGACATCTCACCTAGAACATGCTTCTCAGACAACAATGCCTGTCCTCCTCACGATCTGTTTCTGTCCCATCCCCTTTGCCTCAGCAGAGCCTGTGTGAAAAAATAAAGTCCTTGATGTGAATGGAAATGACTCATGCACTGAAAGGATGGCAGGACTTGGTGGATATGTACCAGCAGAAACCAGAACGCAAAGGCACAGGGCAATCAGGTTGTAGGGCTGGTTGGGGAGGAATTGTTGACATAGCCAATCACTTATGAGTTCCCACACCTGCTTTTGATGGTTCCTTGAAGATAGGACAAAGTAGGTAGTGATATACAGCAAAAAAGGGGGGGAAATGACCCAGTGCGGTGGCTCATTCACATCTGTAATCCCAGCACTTTGGGAGGCTGAGAAGGGAGGGTAACTTGAGGCCAGGAATTTGAGACCAACCTGGGCAACATAAGGAGCTCGCATCTCTACAAAAAACAAAATAAAATAAATGAGTGAGGCAGGGGTGGTGCAAGCTTGTAGTCCCAAATACTGTTGCAGCTACTTGGGAGGCTGTGCTGGGAGGATGGCTTGGGCCCAGCAGTTCAAGACTGCAGTAAGCTAAGATTGTGCCACTGCACTCCAGCCTGAGTGACAGAGAAAGAGAAAGAAAGAAAGGAAGGAAGGAAGGAAGGAAGGAAAGAAGGAGGGAAGGAGAGAAAGAAAGAAGAGAGAACGAAAGAGAAAGAAAGGAAAGGAAAGAAAGAAAAAGAAAGAAGAAAGAAAGAAAGAGACATGCAGACATGGCAGAAGATGTGACAGGGACACAGTGAGGATGTTGTGAAAGATTGATTAAAGTGAATAGCCTGGTGCCATATGCAGTCTCTTCACAAGATAGATCAAGTCCTCAACATTGGAGCAATATGTCACCCACAGCAGTGGCCATCGTAACACACATCCTTTGGTTGGCCCTCCCTGTGTCCCTGTCCCACCTCTCCTGATTCTCTCATGCTATCTGGGATCCCATTCTAAGATAAGCAGCTCAGCCAGGTGCAGTGGCTCATACCTGTAATCCCAGCACTTTGGGAGGCCGAGGCGAGAGGATCATAAGGTCAGCAGTTTAAGACCAGACTGGCCAACATGGTGAAACCCCATCTCTACTAAAAAAATACAAAAATCAGCTGGGCATGGTGGCTTGTGTGTGTAATGCCAACTACTTGGGAGGCTGAGGTAGGAGAATTGGTTGAACTGGGATCCAGGAGGCAGAGGTTGCAATGAGCTGAGATTGCACCACTGCACTCCGGCCTGGGCTGCAGAGTGAGACTCCAGCTCAAAAAAAAAAAAAGATAAGCAACTCAGACAGATAGATCCATTTATCCACACTCCACCTTGGGGAGCACCTGGGTGGATTCTGTTGTTATCCCTATTTTGCAGATGAAGAGATTGCAGCACAGAGAAGCTGACTAGGTTGACTGAAGTCACACAGCTAATGAGTGACTTAGCAGGGCTGTGACTCCAGGCCACCTGATTTTCAAATCTGTACCTTTCACCATGATGCTTAGTTAGTCAAATAAGACAGGACAAGCTGGAGAAACACAGACCTCATTCCTGCACATCCTAACCCACAAATTCTGAAGTCTTGAAACAATTTTCTCAATGGCCCCAGTCTAAAATTTTTCATCTAATTTTAAAAAATTGGAACTCATGTTAAATCATCCAAATAATTTTTCCTTTGCTTCTCTTTTCTCTGACTCTATAGATCCAGTTTCTCTTATCTCTCTGATACTTTACCATCTTCTCCTCAACGATAATAAAGCCACTTAAATTATTGCTAAAAAGTTAGAACTTTAAAGCAGCTCAGAAAAAAAGTACTATTCAAAGAGGCCGAGCAAGTATTTTGAGCAGCTAGACTGTCACAGGTAGTACTGGGCACATGAAATGGATATTTATTGATCTAAACCACACCCAAGGACCAAAGAATACATTAGTTAATTGTTTTCATTGAATTCCCTTTGAAAACTTTTTATTTCAGAAGAAAAAACTCTTACCGAAGAAAAATAAGCATTATTCTCATTTCAAAAAGAAAATGGAGTAGCAAATATCTGTGTCACTTGGAAACTTCTTTTTTTTTTTTTTTTTTTTAAGGGCATTACATAATGGTAAAAGTGGAAGCTTCTTCCTTGGCTTCATGGTACCACTTTCTCTAGCGTCTGCTACTTCTTAATTATTTTCCTGGACACTTTCGCTGCCTTACACCTTCTCTGACCATGACCATCCCTCAAATGTGGATCCACCTTGGGAATCTGACCCCCGCGCTTGCCCTTGTTGTGCTCACTAAGAGGTCTGTCAGCTGGGTGAAATGACTCACACTTGTAATCCCAGCATTTTGAGAGGCCGAGGCAGGATGATTGCTTGAGCCCAGGAGTTCAAGACCAGCCTGGGCAACAGAGAGATTCTGTCTCTACCAAAAATTAAAAAAAAAAAAATTAGCTAGGCATGGTGTACACACTTGTGGTCCCAGCTACTCAGGAGGTTGAGGTAGGAGGATTGCTTGAGCCAGGGAGGTTGAGGCTGCAGTGAGATATGATAAAAAAAAAACAAAACTGCACTCCAACCAGGGTGACAGAGTGAGACCCTGCCTCAAAAAAAAACATTAAAATTGAAAAAAGAGGCCGGGTATGGTGGCTCACACCTCTAAGCCCAGGGCTTTGAGAGGCTGAGGCGGGTGGATCATGAGGTCAGGAGTTCAAGACCAGCCTGGCCAACATGGTGGAACCCCGTTTCTATTAAAAATATAAAAATTAGCTAGGCACGGTGGTGCACACCTGTAATCCCATCTACTCAGGAGGCTGAGGCAGCAGAATCACTTGAACCCGGGAGGCAGAGGTTGCAGTGAGTCAAGATAGTGCCACTGCACTCCAGCCTGGGTGACAGAGTGAGACTCCATCTCAAAACAAAAACAAGAGGCCTCCTATACTCCACAATCCCTCATCCTGGGTCCCAGCCCCCAACACACACACACACACACACACACACACACACACACGTGCGCGCACACTTCAGCCAAACCCAACTACTTACTGCTACTTACTAAGACATCAAACTCCTCCATGTCTCTGTTCCATGCAAGGAAACAAAAAGGGATTTCTTTTCTTCCTTCTCTTTAATTCTTATGCATGATCCCCAAGGTTTACACACGATTTTAGAGGAAAAGTTCATTTCAAGGACAAAGAAGTTTTTTCATCTCTCATACAGTAGTCCTGCACCTGCATGCTCAAAGCCAGTCGGTCCTCAACTGCTCTGCAGTTCAGCACCAACCATGGGGAAGGCTGCATCAGATGCTGGGCCTAGAAACGTCTCCCATCACTTCTGCTCACATTCCATTGGAAGGAACTCAGACACTCACCAGCAAGGGACTCTTGAAATATAGTGTCCAACTGAGAGGTCACATACTGGGCTAGACCATTACGTTGAAAGATTGGGAAGATAGATTTGGTAGGCAGCCAGCTGTCTGCCCACTGGGACGTGTTCACAGTTCTGGGGTTCATGGTGTAGCAGAAGCTTTAGTCCAGTTTCCATAAGAGAAATAAGGAATAAAGGGGAAAAGAAGACCTGATTAATTCAAATAAACGATAAACAAAAAACTATTTTACCTAAGTACAAGATTGTAAGTCTGAATGTTCCACATATTTTCTTCGGATCTCTGTTTTACTTAGAACAACTTTTTGAGAATGAAAGGCACAACACCTTTCTGAGCATATGGCCATGGGACTCATCTAAGAAGAGTAATAACGACTAACGAAAATGTTTCTGCGTGACACAGAGGGTCAAGGACATACCCAGGATGCCTCCAAATCTGAAAACGATGCCAAGTTGGAAATCAAAACAAAATCTAAGACTCTCCAAGGCAAAACATAAGGGCCTTAGACACACATATGGTTTCCATCTCTAGCTGAAAGAGCTGGATCTAAACGGAGTTTCAAAGCACATATGCAGTTTCATAAATAGAATTAGGTATATCAGGATACCTTCCAACCCAGAAGTTTAGCAATGTCCTTTGCACAACTAAAGATCTGCTGTTCTGAAATCTAGTCTTTGCTAAAGTTTCCTGGCTGGTCTTGAATCCTCATAAAATTTGGTTTTCACATGTGTTGGGGAAGCTTTAAAGAGTTGCTTTGTGAGAAGGCTAATGAGAATGCCAGAATTTTCATTTTAGGGTAAAGGGTATAAACTAAGCCATCCATAATTTGAACATTTGAAAAAGATCTTCAAAACATGACTTTTGGAACTGACCTCTCAATAAAATGTACTTTCTGTCCAAACAGTTTGACCAATGAGACAGTAATCTTAGTTTAAACTAAGCCATTGCTATTGTCAGGAAGAATTTACAAAATCTAGAATTGTAGCTCTTTCAGATTTCATTGTCAAAATGCAATACCTAGCCTGCACTAAGACCATAAATCTGAAAATATAAAAGAAAATTTAAAAATTATGAATCTGAAGTGAGAACCTAATTGTTTCTATTTTCTCCAAATTTATTGAGCCACTGGTCAAGTCTCAATTTTATCAAGGTAATGACACACACATGGAGAAGGTCCTAACTGAGAGATTTTGTTTTCAGAAAGTTTATATCCTGCCTATTTCATTTTATAAGATGTGGTATGTACACACACCGCTTCCCAATAACCCTCTGTTTGAGGTAGGAGTGTTGTGATGATTTGCTTTTCAATCACTTTCGGTTTGGGATTGGGTCACTTATTTGCTCAAACTCATGATGCAATTCTTATAATTGCTATGGTCCTAGGGAAAAAAGAAAGCTAGAATCATGTTACCCTTCAAATTGGTCAGTTGACCCAACTTTCATACTTTTTGTAAATTTTTACCCAACCAGCACTAGATAAATAGAATAGTTACTCAAATTATTCATGAAAACAATTCCATTTGAGCTCTCTCAAATTAACTATATAAGCTGTACCAAAAAAAAATCCTCTAAGAATTCCCAACCTGTTCATTTGCTTGACAGTAATTGTCTGGATTAGTTAATCTACTCTGTGAGGCGAAGGCTGGAAGCCAGCCAGTGTGCAAGCCTTGTGGTTAACTTTTTGAAAATTTGTTTTCTGTATGAAATCAAGATAGTGCAATTGCTAGGTGAATTTAAAATTCTTTGAGACTCAGCTACAAAGGTAAGGTGAAGGATGTATAAATACCTTTTTGCCAATATACATGTTCTCCTCTGGAGCACAGGTTCTCTTGACTTACAGGATTTGACAGTTGGAAGCATCCTTCATTCACTCTCTCACTTACAGTTAATGACAGTGAGGTTGAGAGAGGTGATGTCGCTTGCCCTATAGGGTTCACAACACTTTCTGACTCCCATGCCAGTGCTCCTTATCACACAGTCTGCTGCCAAACTCATCCCAATATTCATGTTGAGGAAAGCTAGAGTTGTGGAAATCCTGAGATCACATTGTCAATGCCAGAATAACTTTAGTTTGTAGTTGAGCATTTGAAAAGCTGACAGGAAGTCACAGAAATGGAAAATGTGGCCATTTCAAGACACTGCCGAAGGAAGAGGAAATTCTCAAGGGAACAGGCTCACGCACAGGCTGCTGTTCTTCTGAGATAAGCTAGCAGGAATCTTCCTGAAGAGCATCCTGGAAAGAAAAGGAAAGATTTCTTTGCTTATTCTCTCCTTTACCAATAAGAGAGGTAAACGTTGGCAAACCAGCAACATGGAGAATTGGCATACTAGTTCCGGGAGCTCTCACTTATTCACCTGTCAGAGATGGGTTACTGAACACAGTTGGCAATGCCTGAAGCTCCTTGTTGGGGGAACAAGTCATGACCAACCTTTCCCTTTCTGAGAGGTGTCCGATGAAGGAGGATCCTCTCAGTCTTTGAAGATGAAGCCCCAAGAATCAGAGAAAGGTGGCATTTAGTTAGACAGGACCTCTGGCTCTTTGGTTAGGAGTATTAGAAAGAGGTTTTCTTTTAACAAAGGACATCCCCTTATATCCCAACACTGGTTTCGTGCTGCGTTCTAATAAAGGGGTTTTCCAGAAGCAGCGCCAGTAATGCACCAGAGCAGGACTTTTCACTTGCATTTTCATGGGTAGTTAGGGGTCTTCAGGAGCCTCGGAGATGCAGGGCTGCTGTTCTGTGACTAGAATGTCCATGCCCGCAGGAACTGGATCAGAGAATATGGAATAGCGGATTAAACTACACACAACATATGCAGGCTTAGCTGCCCCAGATCTCGCCATGTGTGTGCCAGGTGGTGAGCTGCATTAGATGATACTAACCATCTCTTTTCATGGCCAGAATCTCCAATGATAACTGATATGTTCACTCTCTTAACTCATGGCCACCATTAGATCAATAAATATTCACTTTATGCTTTATTAGGCACTCTGTCGGTACTCTTTAAGCTTCCAAGAGTAGAATATGATGTTAATTCTCTGCTATCTGAATCTTATTGGGGATTTCCTTCCCTTCCCTTCTCCTCTTTCTCCAACCCCTCATCCCATTTTGCCAAGATTAAGAAGAGATTCACAGTAGAACAGAACGGACACCGAGTATCTTCCATGGATTTTTGAGCCTGGTGTGATATGTGTTTAATTGTTATGTCTGGTGATTACTAATGGAGACAGAGCCTCAGATTCTCCACTGCTTTGAAAGGCGGAATGGTAGCATATGGATTCTGCACTGCACTCTCCTTTTAACTAACCTGCGGGAGCACCTGTGTCAGGCTGAATTGTTCCAGAACAGCATATCAATTAGGCAAGCAGAGGCTTGAGGGGTTTTTTGCAAACCTTCCTACCAAACGCTTCTCTCCAATTTAGTCTGTGGGTCTTTCTATTTCAGTACCTGTCACCTTATTACCTACTCTCTTTGAAATGATGACCACTTAAGGAAAAAAACAACAGAAATTAGTGAGGAACGCAAAAGAAAAAAATCATCTTTCTTCTTCCAAAACATCCTCTGACCAGCAAAACTTTGGAAGCTACAAAATATCCAGGAATACTCCAGTGGCAGAGCTGAATAAAACCATATAAATTTCCATATGATCTGTGTTTGCTGGGACACACTGTGCTAGGCTATAGTAACAAACAAAGGCCAAAGTAGCAGGGGTTCAGCCTTATAGAAGCTTGTATCTTGCTCATGCAAAGTCTGGTGCAGGTCAGCAGGGCTCTCTTCCATCTGGTGTCTTAGAGATCGAAGGTCTTTCCATTCTGCACTGCTATCACTTCCACATCAGGCTCCCAGGAGGAGAGAGAGCATGGGAGACTCTTAAGTGCCTCAGAACACAAATGATATGCCTCTTTACTCAAAGTCCACTGGGCAATGCTCGTTAGATGATCTTGAACTACTTTCAGGGCAACTTGAGTCTCCCCATGTGCTCAGGAATGAATACCCGGATGTGGTAAGCACTAGGTGTCTCTACGGCTTCCATCATATTCTGTGGAGCAGGTGTTTATATTTACAACCATCTTCACAATTTTTAGCAACTGCCACATCTGACAAGAAGCCAGTCCCATTGCTTTAGGACCTCCCAGTGATTTCACCATAATCCCAAGGCCCTGCCTCCCAGGCCCACATGAGGGACCAGGATTTCTCATCACCGCTTTCAACAGATCATGGCACTGGTTTTTGACCTGGAGATTTAGATTAACTTCTGCTGCACCAATACAGTCACCAAAACATCAAGAGTAACAAGAGAAAAAGACTTAATTCTCCAGGATCTCTTACGGCATGAGAAATCAGATTTTGGGGAAGAAAATACTTTCATAAATTGGTTGGGTATAAAAATCACAAATGTTGAGGAATCATGTGTTAGACATAAAGCTGAAGTTATCCGAGAGGAGGGAGAAAAATGGCAAAAAGGGTGGGCCTTTTCTAATCAAAGACTAGGGGGATTCCTAGGAGGGGGTCCTATCTTGGAGAATGATTCTCCGAGAAAGCTGCTAAACTGAGAGCAGGCTTGAGAATGACCTTCCATGAAAATAATGGCGTGGACCAGGAAGGTGACATTCAGGCACTGAGGTGAAGGGAGGCTGAAGGAAGAAAGCATTAAGGAAAAGAAACTGCAGGAAGGACTCTGAGTTCTGCCAAGGCCATGGAATGAGAATTCCAGTCAAATGTGACCAGATCCTCTAGGGCAGAGGCCCAGCTGACCCCTGGCTCACACAGTAAAGAACTTAATTTGACTGGGTATGGACTGGTGAAGTTCTCCAGCCAAGCCACAAGAAAGGAGGAGTAGCTGGGGCAGAGTAGTTGACTCGTTTCATGCTGCCCTTCAGATGTCCCAACCTTACATCTCCTGAACACTTGCAGTGAAAGTAACCTACTTTCACATCTTAGGGGACATCCCAGTTGGTCTTATATCATATGGGAAATGCATTTCGCTTCCTCCAGCTCCCCTCCCCTCTGCTGTACACACACACCTTGACAACTAGGACCTAGAGAAATGTGCCTTCTCCCCAGGACTCAGCACTGCATCTGGCCTATCATGGATACTTACTCACCTTCTTCCCTAACCTATCAGGTGGAGGTGGCGACAGTGATCATACAGGATACAGGAGAGACAGTGCGGCATAATGACTGGCAGCAGGGATAGGGCACGTGGTCACACTGGTGTGGACCTCAACTTTGATCCTAATTTCTAGGAAGAGCAATCATCTCTTAGGGCTGTTTTGGAGACTAAGTGAGAAAAAGAATATAAAACTAAGAGTCAGAGCCAGCATACAGTGAGCCTTGGAGAATGTTGTCTGCTTGACTAGTTGAATGCCCTCTGAGAGTGTGGACAATAGGAAAAAAAGAAAAGCTATCTTGGAGGTGAATCACCCAGAAACCAGCCCAGCTGGTCTGGGGAAATATTAGGAAATGAACAAATCAGCACCGGGAACCCTCCAAGTGACCTGGAGCAAGACAGTCTCTCAACATGAGAAAGTCCACTTTGTCTTAGGGAGAGACTTAACAATGATTGAGAAATGCAGGCATCAGCCAAGTGAACTGGGAGATGTAAAAAGGCAGGGGAAGGCAGAGGCACTTCACAGAAATCTGGAAAATACACAGACAGCAGAGATCATCAGTGGTGGCCAGTGTGTTCCCTATTTCTGCTATAGTACTTGCTTTTTGCAGTCACTGGCTGACAGTGTAGAGACAGCTACGTATGGCCCTCGACCGAGGCCCAGCCCATGGGACGTAAGTGAAAGTGTGTGCTGTAGCTTCTGGGAACCTTCTTTAAGAGACAGCAGGTGTCTGCCCTTTGCCACGTCTCCCTCATTCCTCTTTCTTGCTAGCGGGAATGCAGGTGTGATGGGCAGCGCTACAGCAGTCATCTTGGACCTAGATGTATCCTGGGGAATGGAAGCATGTGTGGAACCAGAAGAAAGAAGAAGCAATGAGCAATGGAGGCCAGACACCCCAGTGTCCAGTGTGTCAGATAAGCAAAGTCGCCCTCACTCCAGAGGAGACAGAGAAAGAGGGGAGGAGGGTGTCCAGATTTTTATGTAAGAAAGAAATAAACCTCTATCTTGCCAAAGCCAAGTTATTCTGGATCTCTCATTTTATGCACAGTCCAACTCAAACCTCAAAGGTAGTAACTTACTTTACCTATGTGGCCGTTGATGACATTTCCACTTACCAGCCTTGGCTGTTCATTATATTTCTATTCAATTGTTCTGGGATGCTAGCATTTATTATAACATTAATCTTATTTTAACAGTGTTATAATCTCACTCCCATTTAACTGCTCTTCAAAATGAAGATTGAATGTCAGTTCTACTATTGTCCATCTTGCCTGGATCCTGTAACAGTTTTCAGAGATCTATTTTTCAAAAAGCGAGGATGGAGGGAGCAGAAACAGAGCTTCTCAATTTTGCCTAGAGCTGGCCTAAGGAACACCTTATTCCGCAGAGGGAACACATACAAAGAAAATATTATTTGAAAAGGATTCTGGCCTCCCTTCATCCAAAAGAATCATCTCCTAACACAAAGTTGGCATTCTCTGTTACTCACCCAATGTAAATTGGTTTTCCTTCTGGGTGAGCAGTGATTTGCAGAGATCACCGGGTGAGGGGCAGCTCTTGATACTGGGCCAGGTTGGCAGGGGCGGCTCTGCACGTTCAGACAGCTCCTCTGCCTCCGTGGACCAGGAGAGACCCCCTACTGGCTCTCTGGATTGTGCTACTGACCCAGGCTGGAGAATGAGAAAGGAAGGCATGAGAAGTGATCCCAGCCAGGTGGTGCTCAGCCCTGCCGCATGTCATCATCTTCCTGACTGATGGGAGGTCACCTGGTAAGGGCCGGGGGCCCCCACCCCTCAACTGTGACTGCCTCTGTCGGGCAGGCCTGGGATTTGAACTGATCTGTTATTTAGTTGGAAGGGGTATTTTTAACACCTTGTGTGTTTAGGTTGCTTTATTCTTTCACCAGCCTTCACAGGTATGAGTCTAGGTAATCTTCATAACAGCTTTTGGAAAGTAGGCCTGGAGGATACTGTTTTCCGTATTTCCAATGGAGGAAATCAAGGCTCTGAGAGTCGCCTCCTATAACTTCTGTAGCTGGAGCCCTGCTCCCTCTTGCCTGGCCTCAGGACAGCCAGGAAGCTGGGACAAGTGCATCAACAGCAGCTGGGAGGGGAGGCTGGCAAGAGACTCTGGGTTTCTCCCTGCACGCTGCCTTCCCTGGCACAGCCTTTGCTTGAAGTCCCCAGCAGGCAATGCCAGCCCCAAAGACAGAGACCTGGGGCTTCACACTTCACCTCGCCTGCCCCTCCGAGGGCCCAGCAATTACTCGAGAATCTGACTTTGGTGATTTAATTGCTTTTTCCTTAAAGATGGAGAATCTATGTAATTTCTCCCTTTTTTCTTTTACTACAGCCGGAGTGGTAAATGCTACCTACTGCCAACAAACACGAGCATCCACTCTTTCTTCAATGCCTCTTCCGTGAGACATTTGAACTGAAATAAGAGGTGTATCATCCAGAATGAGTAACCAAGGGGGCCAAGAAAGGCCTAGACTGAAGAAACAAGTTAACACGTGAGTATTCTCCAGAACAGGTCCCTCCATGGAGACGCAGTCAGCCATGCAGCCAGGGGACGCAGATCCACAGCTCTCATGCTGATTCAGGACTGTACAAGCACTGCGGAAGCCAGGGAGCCGGTGTCCTGAGCATCCTGGCACTTCTTTCTATGTGGGCACAAATGAGCAATGCGCACCAAGCTGCACCGTCTCCTCTGCTGCGATTTCACTGCCGAAGAGCCGAAGAAGGTTGGGATGCAATTAACAGAGCAGAGTGACCTGTGACAGGGTTAACCTGCGGAGCAGAAGCAGCCATAAATCAGCATCCTGGCCTCACGCACACACCAGCAGAAGGAATCACGTTAGGGGCTTTAAGTCAGCCAAATCAAAAGCGCTACCAGATCTAGAGGGTGTTTTCTTTTCTAGAACCTAGAATAGGTCTCTAGAGACAGATGGACGCTTGGTTTCTGAAAACTGTAAAACAGGGAGGCAAGATGCAATATGCACAGAGAATTAATGTCAGTTGTGTTTTTTTTTTTTTTTTGCTTGCCAAAAAAGAGTAGATTCCTTATTCTCATGTGGTGAAAGATGTGCTCTGTTTTCTTTAAAATCTAATAGTCTTTTTGGTAACAAAATGGAAAAATATGAACCTTCCTTTGTTGCTTTCATTGAGAATTGATAAAAGCTTATCTATGAACAGACGTTAAATAACCATGATGTCAAAAGAGCAAGACCGTTTGTTGAATACTTATTATGTGCTGGGTGTTAAACTACCTTAGCTCTTCGATTTTTTTCACACTTTTCAGAGGTAGGTTTAGTGGGGACCATTTTGCAGATGATGAAACTGAGGCCCAGAAAAATGAAATACATTTTCTAAAGTCACACAACTAATTAGTGTAAGAAATAGAATTCCACGGTTCAAAAGATACAAACTGGAAAATTATCATTTACCATTGACTTTTCATACCTCGTCACATCAGAATTGGTAAGAATCTTACATAGGGCAAAGGTGTCATGGTATAAACCACTTGTTCTTTTTTTTCTTTTTTTTTTTTTGAGACAGACCCTCACTCTATCGCCCAGGCTGAAGTGCAGTGGCACAATCTCAGCTCACTGCAACCTCTGCTTCCTGAGTTCAAGCTATTCTCCTGCCTCAGCTTCCTGAGTTGGTGGGAATACAGGTGCCTACCACCATGCCCAACTAATTTTTGTACTTTTTATGGGGTTTCGCCATTTTGGCCAGGCTGGTCTCTTAAATCCTGGCCTCAAATGATCCACCCACCTCAGCCTCCCAAAGTGCTGGGAGAGCAGGCATGAGCCACCATGCCCGGCCATCCTAACTGTTCTTGATGACTGATACTGTGCAGGCTATCTGACTTGCACTAAATTCTCATGGTCAGAACTCAGTGTGTATTGTTCTTGCTAGTACTTCATCAATCCCTCTTAGCACCTCTATATTTCCATACCCATTGTAGACATAAAGAAAGTAAGGCTCATAGTACACAATTTACCCAGTATCTCACACAGCAAAGAAGTACCAGGGCCAGGGAGACACTGAAATGCTCTTGAATTCTAAAGCCCATATCTCTCCCACTCCTTCACACAGATTCCATCAATAGGGAAAGACAGAAGAGAGCCTGTGGCTGTACCTTCCAGATTGCTTTATTTGCTCATTTTAAAATAGAGTTAAGCCGGGTGCAATAGCATGTACCTGTAGTCCCAACTACTCAGGAGGCTGAGATAGGAGGCTCCTGTGAACCTCAGAGTTCAAGGTTATAGTGAGCGATGATCATGTCACTGCACACTAACCTGGGCAACAGAGTGAGATGCTGTCTTAAAATAATAATAATAATGATGGATTGACCAAAGTCAGTAGATAGGGAAGGAGCCAGGCAGGTAGACTCCGGTCTCGTGAACGCCTGGTGGCTAAACGTCACAAAGAAGAGAGGCCAGTACCTTGGGTGTTGAGGCTGCAAAAGGAATACCATAGCATTTCATGTAGAAAACTACACATTGATGCAGGAAAAGATTTGGATAAAAGGGGATTGGACTTTTGACGTGAAATATGAGCTCTGAAAGGCTCACAAGTGGCCAGGGTTACTAAATAATTAATCAAGAGCAGGCGGGTGGCAGTTTGAAATGTAAATGGGATGAAGAAAGGTGTGATGCTGTCATCCAGGAGAGGCTGATGTGGCTGGAGAGCTGAACCACCGTGCCAGCTCCCGGGAAGGCATGGGCACAAAAGAGCAGTGAGGCCATCCGACAAAGAGCCCCAGAACCCATAATTCCTGCCTTTGACCTGCAGTTCACTTTCATGTCCCTGTCCCCAAAGAGATGTTAAAAAATGATGAAGAACTGGCTAGGCATGAGGGAGGGGAAGCAAAGCCATCTAAAGAAGTACCTGTGTCAGGCAGCAGCCCACACACTTGAGAACATCTTTAATTTTCCTATGTTTTCTTGTCTCTTAAAAAAAAATGCACCTTTTGTCTGCCCTCTCTCCTCTTTCTTCCCAAATTCTCTGGAGTTCTTCCTGCAAGTGTTTCTGTGTGACTCGCTGCAAGCAAAGGAACAAAAAAGAACATTGACAATAGGAGAAGGGGCAGGTGAGAGAGACTCCCTTTACCTTATCAAACCAGAAAATGCCATGGCGTAAATAGCAAAAAAAATAAAGTCTGCAGAAGATGAAATGTCTCTCTTCTCACTAAACAGTTTTTTTTTTTAAAAAATCTCTGTTTCAGAAAAATATGACAGCTTGGCATTCAAATCACAGCATCTTAGATCCGGAAGGAATGCTCATGCCTAGCATAGCCTGGTACTTAGTAGGTGCTAGATGTATATTCATTCTTTCTGTGTGTTCCTTTCCTTGTTTATTACACCTTCCTGCACAGGCCAGCCAACCTCCCCTTAAATTGGCTAGTCTCTCCAAGCTTCAGTGTAAGCTCTGGAAAACAGAGATAACTTTGGTGCCCACCTGGTAGGGTCATGCGTGTCAAGGGTTGAGCCCACGCCTGGCACTAGAGTGAGCTGGTGTAGTGATCGGTGTGTTTGTCACCCCAGACTTAGGAAGCAACCTGTGCACTCCTTGGTTTGTGTGGGGAAACTGACAACACGGCTGGTCAGCAAAAGCACGGGGTTCCAGGCAGAGGTGGCAGGAGATGCAGCTGATGAGGAGGAGTAGGCCAGGGTGTCTGCTGTGGGAGAAGGGACTTGCTGAGGCCTGTGGAGGTTGGACGAGGAGGCAAGAGGGTACTGCCCTGCTGGAGAGCAGGCTCAGGAGGTTCTCACTAGGTGCCCTGAGGATGTGCATGGAGGGAGGGAGTGGATAGTGTAAAGAACTCTGAGGAGTGGGGCTATTTGTGCTCCCCATCACCACCTCAGTGCCTTGGCAGGGGGCAAGGGGCTTAAGAGGGGTGGGGGCCACACTGCCAGCTCCTTCAGGGGCCAAATCTATGGAGGAGGTTTCAACAGCCTGGAGGTGGAACCGGTGTTTTCTGCTTCTTCTCCCTCCTGACAGCTGCTCCCCACCTCCTGCCCCTTTCCTTCCTCTCCATTCCTCTCATCTCCCTTTCTCCTCTCCTTTGCTTAACTTTCTTTTTTTATTATTGCATTTTAGGTTTTGGGGTACATGTGAAGAACATGCAAGATAGTTGCATAGGTACACACGTGGCAGTGTGATTTGCTGCCTTCCTCCCCTTCACCTATATCTGGCATTTCTCCCCTTGCTATCTCTCCCCAACTCCCCACCCCCTGCTGTCCCTCCCTTATTCCCCCCAACAGACCCCAGTGTGTAGTGCTCCCCTCCCTGTGTCCATGTGTTCTCATTGTTCAACACCCACCTATGAGTGAGAACATGCGGTGTTTCATTTTCTGTTCTTGTGTCAGTTTGCTGAGAATGATGGTCTCCAGGTTCAGCGATGTCCCTTGCTTAGCTTTCTTACCTTCTCTAGCAGAAAAAAATCAGAAGCGAGTCCCGCCCCTAGAAGTCTTATTTTGCAGGAAGTCATGACCCGGCAGGCCAGAGCCGAGGGCAGGAGCAAGGGCAGCTGAAAGGACGCAGGGGAAGCTCTGTGTGGTTCTAGGGGGTTCTGCTCCCATCCCGCCTCCCTCTCTTCACCCTGCTTCTCCCACGCCCATTACTTCCGATTTGGGCCAACTGGAAATCAACTGTTGACTTGCACAGCTCTGGCTACTTTCTGAATAGGATCTCATTAAAGCACACAGAAGTAATCCACTATGGAAATAAAAGTAGAACAGAGCCAAGCGCTACAGCTTTTCCTCTTGTGTAGAACAAATTGCTATGAGGCACACATTGTTCGAGATTCAAAATCCTGGTTCTTAATGCCTTACAATTCACGGAGACAATATCACCTAACTTTTAAGCTCATAGACACTTTTTTTTCCAAGAAATTATTACATGTGGTGTATATTTCTTTAGGAAGTTTATCTAGTTCGTAATTTTAAGAGTATATAGGTCAGGGCTTTTAAAACTCTGTAATTTAACTACTTCTGCTATAAAATATATGTATAGAAAAGGTATCAGCTAGAAAAATATTAATTTTGAGAAATTGAAAGCTAACTTAGATTTGACTTTGGGAATGTTTTCCAAACAAAGCAACATAATCCTAAAGTCAGAACTCAGAGTTTTTTACTATATTACAAGGAAGGCATGTAGAATTGGGTGTGTGTGTGTGTGTGTGTGTGTGTGTGTGTGTGTGACTTCTCAAAGAACTGTAGATTTACACATAAAGCATTGTAACCAACTTCATCCTTATCTAGTAGGCAGTGAGAAACTTACGGCTTAACATTGTGTGAGACGGATTTAAGTTCAATAGCAAAAAAAAAGAGTTCCTGGCAGAGGGTTCTGAGGACATTTGTAGAGGTTGCCTAGGTGGACAGGCCCATCCTTCCCTGGAGAGCTGCACCACTTCCCTAGATTCAGCCTAAGATGAACACCAGGAGAAAATTTCCCAGGTTATCTCATCCCGCAAATCCTCCCCAAGACCACCTGGATTTCCATGTGGGTTAAAGGGTAGATTGAGTGCACGAAGGCCAAAGGCCAGCCCAGACACCTGCCAGCATGGGATCTTGAGCAAGTCATATGCTCAGAATCAATCTTTTAGTTAGAGGGCAAGCATAGTAAGAACCATATATCCCTCCTAGGTTTGCGGTGACGTTAAAGAGGGTGGAAAAGTGCCTATTAAGGTGAAGACTCCTACAAGTGTTGGTCACTAGTAGTTGCTGCATGAAAGTCACAGATCAAAGGGCGTAATCCCTGTCCCCAAAGGGATTAAAAACCTGCAGAGGTACTAATAATAAAGTTTGCAAGTCCTTGGTCTAAGTTGCAATTTTCCCCCATATATGAGAAATCTGTTAAGTTGTAGAAATCAGTCATTCAAAGGCCAAAGTACTCCATATCTCATCTTAGGTGACCAACAAGTTCACCCCTAGCCCCAACAGCCCACGTGCTAAGGAAGGACACAGTGTCCATCTGAGCAGTGACCCCAGCTAAACTTAGACTTAGTGTTTGCCCATACAGAGGAGCAAACACTGGTTCTACCTCGAGGAACTTCCTTAACTGACCCCATGAGTGGGACCTCTCAGTAACATTTCTGCTGTGGGAAAGCCTGTCAGACCCATCAGGGTCTTCATGCCAGAAAGGATGCACCTCCAGAAATCCCTGGCTCTCGTGACCAACTCTGAGGTGGCAACCCCTCAAAATCTGACCGGAGAAAAGGCCAGTGCAGCCGTGGGGGCCTCATGAGCAAGCATTGCCACCAATTTGCCTTTGGAATGTACTTCCTGTTTCCCCTCAATATCCCTGTTGTTACATGACTGAAAGCCACAATGAGAACAATATCTGTGTGTCTCTGGTCATCATTTTGCTTTCCTCTGAAGCTGGAATAATTATCCTACAGGTGTCAGCTGTGGCGGAAGGTGGCAATAGTTTGTACTATAAGAATATTTCCAAAGGTTGCACTAAGCCTAGATAGCATCACCACACTCCAGCTTGGGAGGCAGAGCAAGACTCCATCTCAAAAAAATTTAAAAGGAAGAAAGACAAATATCACATGTTCTCATTCATATGTGGGAGCTATAAAGGTGACCTCATGGAGGTAGAGAGTAGATGACAGTTACCAGAGACTGAGGCTGGGAAGGGCAGAGGGGAAAGAAGAATTAAAAATGGTTGGTTAAAGGGTACAAAAAGATAGAAGAAATTAGATCTGGTGTTCCGTAGCACAACAGGGTGACTACAGGTAACAATAATTTATTGCATATTTCAAAATAACTAGAAGAGTAGAATTGAAATCTTCCTAAGACAAGGAAATGATAAATGTTGAAGGTGATGGATGTCCCAATTACTATGATTTGATCAATACACATTGTATGCTTGTATCAAAATATCACACGTACCCCAAAATATCACATGTACCCCATAAATATGTACAATTACGATGTATTCATAAAAATTAAATAAAAAAAGAATATTTTGAGGGATATAACCTCAGAGGTAAGATAGTATCTGAAATAGAACTTACTGGGCACGATAAGTGCTCTGCCCATCTTGAGGACAGAACTGTAGACAAATCAGTCTAGCTTGACTCCACTGTTGCTGGTGACTTTTCACCACATAAGGCTCAAGACCTTGAGATGGCAAAAAACCTCCAATTCACAGGAGCCACAGGTTATACCTCCAACACCCAGTGGAATGAGTGCCCAATTCCTAGCCCATAGACACAGGGAGGCCTGAACTTCTGGAAGCCAAGTACAGTACAACCTACATCTTCCACCAGAACCATCTCAGGTGTCTGACTCTCATCACTAAGAATTTAAAATATGATGTCTTTTTGTTTGTTTGTTTTTGAGACAGTCTCACTCTTCTCCAGGCTGGAGTGCAGTGGCGCAATCTCAGCTCACTGCAACCTCCACCTCCTGGGTTCAAGCGATTCTCCTGCCTCAGCCTCTTGAACAGCTGGGATTACAGGTGTCCATCACTGCACCTGGCTAATTTTTGTATTTTTAGTAGAGATGGGGTTTCATCATGTTAGCCAGGCTGGTCTCAAACTCCTGACCTCGTGATCCACCCGCCTCAGCCTCCTAAAGTGCTGGGATTATAGGCATAAACTGCCACACTTGGCAAAAGTGTGATGTCTTTTTTTGCATAAAGTAAAATTGAGGAAAAATCAAAATGTTTATGGTCTACATATTTTTAGGAGTTATATGTAAAATGCACATATGCAAAATGTTTTTAGTACACAGGAAGGAAGGGTAGCAAAATGCTTTCTTGGTGGCATTGCCTCCTCCACTAACTACTCACAAAATAGTGAAAAATGAACGTCCTGCTAGATTCTTTCCTGAGGATATGAGTGGAAAGGATAGAGGACTATATGTCTCTCTCCACCCCTATTTGGGGCATTAGCTGCATGCACGTGGTCTCAGATGCCATCTCTCTGGGTCAGCTTCTGTCCATCCTGGGCTGGTAGATGGTTCCTCAGCCCCACCAGAACTGGGGTTTTTGCTCCTGAGCTTACTAGATCAATGTTTGCATTCCTACAGCTTGATGACTGCACATTGCTCATCACTGTTGTAGAGAAAGATAATCCTGACACATGCCATAACCCACCTGAATGTAAGATGAGGTTCATTCAATTTAGAGAGAGTCCATGAACTCAGCCCTGTTCCTTTCCCTACCTGGTATCTCTTCCTTGAGTATCCCCAAAACTCATACTCCTTTGCTAAAGCGCCTAAAAAGAGTGGAAAATGAAATCATTAAAACTCAAGAACTCAGGAAGAGAGCATGGGCCAGAATATAACATGTTATGTACTCAGAATCCAAATATCAGGGTCCAAAAACCACCTCCTCCCACGATCAGCTGTGCAACCAGGAACCACCCTTTTTACCTGAGTCCCAGTTTTCCATGTTTATAGCAAAAATGTTCCAAATTCTCTCTGCCTTTCCAGGATCTGGGGGTAAGGTAAAGCAGCTGGCAGCCCCCAGACCCGGCCCCACTCCCGCACAAAGTGCTCAGTGCAGGTTGATTGTAAAGTACTGAGGGAGCATCTGCTAAAATCACACCACTGGTAACAGCGATCAGTGGTTTAACACTGCTAAAAAGTCTGCACCAACCTATAAAAGACATGGTGAGATCCTCGCTCTTGTCTGAAGCCATACCCTTTGCCTGTCTCTGGAGCCTGCTCTCTGCGGGGCAACCTGGAGCTGGTCTCCAGAACACAGCTGCTCTCAGCATTTTAACAGGGCCCAGAGAGGCACTACCAGAATACCAGATTACCAGGAGGCAGGGCAGCCGAGGCTCCGAAATGGAGGAGGAGCCCCTTGTTTACAAACCAGGACCTGCTGCCTGCCTGGAAGCGCTCTGACAAGAAATGAAACCCCTTAAGCCACAGCTGGGGGAAAGGAACAGGTAGTGAGCTCCTCTTCGCCCCAAATCACAGTGAAGGCAGGGCCCACAGCCGTGTGGATATGAGTGCTCTCCTGTGACGAGGATGGAGCTTGGTACTAAGAGGTGCTCACCAAGTACTGATGAATGCCTGACTGTCCTAGACGGAGAACAAGGACGGGTCGCATATGCTCGCCCCAGGGCACTGATAGGGGAGCCACAGAGAGCCCCAGGAAGCAACTGTCCCACAGCAGAGGGGCTAGAAGCAGAGGGAGGAGGGCCTCCAGGAAAGAGAAGTGGCCAGAGAGCCTCT